TAATCATCTTAGATTAATAAAAAAACAAATATTTAATTTTAATTTTTAAATACACCTTAATATATAATGTTTTTAAAATTACAAGTATTTATATTTAAATTTTGCATTAACTTTTGAATATTTTAACACATAATTCATTTAACTAAATGGTGTTAGAAATTACAAATAGAAACCAATCATAATTAAACACATGTAATTAAAAAATTATATACCTTATTAAACCGAGAAAAAACCTTAGGTACCTAGTTGCAAAAATAAAATTGTATACCTAAATTAACAAAAAAAGTTATAAAAAATTTAGAACTTGTTCATATTTTAAAACTTTTTAAAAAAATTGAGATTATAAAAACTTTAATTTTTTTTATTAAATTAGGTACCCAACCTTTATTTTTTTATTTTTAAAATTACACGTGTTCATATTTAGAATTTTAACACCTTAACTTTTGAATATGTAACACATTATTCATTTAACTAAACAACTTAAAATTACAAGTATAAACGGATCGTAATGGAGCACATGTAATTTAAAAAATGTTACATACGTAATTGCATCAAGGAAAAAACTTAGGTACTTAATTGAACCAAAGAAAAAATGGGTACCTAATTGCACCAAAGAAGTTAGGTACCAAATTGCATCATTAAAAGAAAAGTTTAATACTTAATTGCACCCTAAAAAGTTAGATATCACATTACACATAAATGCCAAAGTTAGGTACCAGAAGTGATATTTACCCTTAAATTTTAACATAATTGTATACTTTAAAGTTATATCCAGCCCTGTCTCTAATATGCCACATAGAACTGCTACCTTTCAAATAATTAGTGTGTTCATTAAGTTTTTCAAACCCAGAAACTGTTTACATACAACGCATTGTCAGCCAAGATAGCGAGAAATACTTGAGATACAAAGCATCCAACACAGAACATTAATCATAAAACAAAATTCGGTTTTTTCGATCCTTACATTACACAATGTCGTCCCGGACACTTTCTCATGCCCGCTTCGGTGGTACATACTGAACATGCACTTCTTCACACATATTCTGTATGAAGGAACACAAAGATTAAAACTGGAAATGCAAAAGTAATATCATGCTGCCATTGTATCATCTTTTTAACAAAGAAACGAAATGGTATACTCGATTCTTGTAGATTTAAAACTTCTGGATTTGACATTAGAAAATTTTCTTCGATACAATGTATACACTGTTGTGTTTACATAATGCGAGTTGAAATACGACCCCCCACGGGCATGGATGCTACAAAGATGTCATGAAAACAGTTGAAAAGGGAAATCAAATATTATCATGGAAGGCCTAGATCTTTGAAAAGATCCACATTGTGTTTCATACATGATCATCCAATTTTAGTTTTGTGAGTTAATCGGCATAATATTACTGAGGAAATAAAAGGGATAAGCGAATTTCACTCGGGATGAGGCACTGTACCTGCAAGTCTTCTGGAAGTGCCTCTGAAACCGCAAGAGTGTAACAACCGGGGACAAATCTCCCTGAGAAGGATTTACAGAAATGGTAAAGAAACTGGAATATCTAAGGATCATATATAATCCAGTAACGTAAACATATAGTTTGAGCAGGCATCAGAAACCAAAAAGGATATAAAAAACAATATAAAAATAATTGAATAATATACTATTTTACGGTGAAAAACTATCATCAAGATGTCCAAAGTCCGGTTCTTCATAAAGTTCAGAAGCCATGTTGCTCTGACTCTTCATTTTTGTTAGAAACATCTAGTCCAACAGCATGCTCGACAAATTTTCAGACAAGAATACAGAGGTATGTCACGGAACCTCCGAATGCATGGAAAAACTTGGAAAATTAACCATGCTCGTGTTGGACATATCACATATGCTCATATTTGAAACTAACACCAAAATTCGAGTAACATAGAAGCATTCATCTGGCATGCATTATTTCATCAATCAGCCTAGAGAATAAATCTTAAAATCCAGGATCAACTAACCTCACACAATAAAGCAAATCATACATTTCCAAATCATACAAACCTCCATTCTCCATGCAAATAAGGCTCTTAAACTTTGAGAAACTTGCCAATTCGTAGCCAACGAGCAGCCCAACTTCTAGACGGATCCTTCACAGAGATTATCCTAAAAAAATTCAGTAATCAAAATTTAAAACAACGCACAAAGGGATAAGAGAACACAAATTTAAAATAATGGGTTTAGGGAGAAAAGTACCCATTGAAATTAGGAGTGGTGCAATCGACAACGCGCTCATTACCCTCGTCCATCTTAAAGAACGGGCAATTCTGACATCCTGATTCTCTAAACTGTTACTATTTAAATACCCAAAAAAAGAAGTAATTAGTAAAACGCCTCAAACATGAAATGCTTTAAAGCGAGAAGAAACACTAAATTGGGAACGGAATAAGTTACCTGATCGTAGGTTTTGACGAGGCGGCAACGAAGACAAGCCCTGAGCTCGTGGACGAAACTCGTCGGAATCTGTGCCGGCGCGCTTCCCATTGTTATCCCCCCAACACCCAAACTTTCCTTGCGATTTCTGGGTTTTAGTATTTGGGATTCAAACGAGGTAACAATTAAACGAGGAATTAGGAACATGAAACCATAAGGAAATTACACATTTGTCCTAACAAACGGGAGAATATATATTAAATATTATATTTTATAGTTTGCAATCGCATATCAACAAATTCTCTGTAGCACAAGGGTTAAGTTTCTCCACTTGGAATTGAGAAATTCCGGGTTCGAACCCCGGTAGCGGAATTCTTTAGTTTTTGGCGCGCTTCTTTTTAATTACTTTTTAACAAAGCGTAAATATAACTTTTGGTCCCTAACTTTGGTATTTATGTACAATGTCAATGCAAGAGATCCTCAGGAAGTGAAGACGATTTGTAAATTACACATTTATCCCAACAAACGGGAGAATAGTAGTCACATGTAATAAAGTTAACTCTTTAATACCAACAAATCTGCTGTAGCGCAATGTTTAAATTTTTTTGTTTAAAACGGGAAATTCCGGGTTCGAACCGCGGCACGGGAATTACTAAATTTTAACTTGCGCAGCTTATTTTAATATTTTTTAAGAAATGGTAAATACAACTTTTGGTCCGTAACTTTGGCATTTATGTACTATGTGTTTCATTAATGCGTTAATTTTTTAATTACATGTGTTTAATTTTGATTGGTTCATACTTATAATTTTAACACAATTTAGTTAAAATATAATATGTGTTACTGATTTTAAGAATTAGACATTAAAATTATAAGTATAAACATATATAATTTAAAAAATGTTAAGTGTCCAATTGCACTAACAATAAAAGTTAGGCATCTAATTGCATCCGATAAAAAAATAAGCAACTGATTACTCCTTTAAAAAAGTTAAATATTTAATTGTAAAAAAAAGTAAAAGTTATAGGTCAGATATTCAAGCTGTTGAATAGTACAGATACACAGATAAAATATGTACTGTAATATTCAACTGCATATCGAGTAATCAATCTGCTTATAAACAAAAGATTTATATATTTAAGGTTGTGCAATAACAGTTTGCAGAGTTGTGGTATCACGATTATACAATAACGATTTCAGATGACACCTTTACTGCTTCATAACGACCGATATTATGCAAGATTTTAGGCCTTTTGTTTGAGAATGGGTGAAAAATGCTTTTAAAAGTTAATGGGTTAAACTTAGAATTTAATAATTTTTTGAACGTGGTGCGTCAATAATCTAACGTATGTTAACGTTCGAGTGATAAAAATGTTATAACCTGAAAATATAAGTGACCAAAACCAATTTTTTTCAAAATCAATGACCAAAATCGAACAAATCAAAAATAAAATAGACCATCCATGTAATTTATCCAATAAAAAAGTAAAAACTTTTTTTTTAAAAGTACGTGGTGATTACAATACAGTATTTGTTTAAAATATTTCTTAACCATTGCACGAACTAATTTATCTCAGTGGTTATTATTCCTAAATGTCATGAGTTCGAGCACAAACGATTATAAGAGTGATTAGACGTTCGTTATCAAATAGTTGAACGTATATAGAACAAATATTACTTTGTAATATCCTTAGTTTAATAAAAATAAATAAAACCCACAACATATGAGTATAAATCATCCACATAGAGGAATTACAAACATGAAACGAAAAAGAGATTACACATTTGTCCCAATAAACGAAAGAATATAGCTTATATATCAGTGTTTGCAATATGTTAACAAATCCACTGTAGCACAACGGTTAAACTTCTTTGGTTAAAATTCCGGGTTCGAACCCCGGCAGTGGAATTTCTTTTATTTTGCGAGTTTCTTTAACAAAAGGGTAAATATAACTTTTGGTCCCTAACTTTGGCATTTATGTACAGTGTGGTACTAAACTTTTTTCTTGGTGGAATTAGATATCAAACTTTTTTAATGATGCAATTAGGTACTTGAGTTTTTATTTGGTGCAATTAGTATCTTATTTTTTAAATTACATATGTTCAATTTTGATTGGTTCATATTTATAATTTTAACACAATTTGGTCTGTTTGGTTGGGGAAAATATTTTACGGAAAATGTTTTCCCCATTTTTCCGTGTTTGGTTCCTGTAAAATAAAAGGGTCAACGTATTTTGTTTTCCGGTCAATGAAAAACTTAAAGGAAAACACGGTAAAATGACTTACCGTTGGGAAAGGGTAAGTTGTTTTCCATCGTTTTGCAATTAGTGAAAGTATAATATGTGCTACTGATTTAAGAAGAAAGCATTGAAATTCTAAATATAAATACATGTAAATTTATTAATTATTAGGTGTCTAATTGCTCTAAAAATAAAAGGTGGGTATTGAATTGCATTCAATAAAACATTAAGTACCTAATTGCCAAAATCCAAAAGTTATATTTACCCAAAAAAAGATTCACCCACCCAAAAAAAAAAGCAAGTCAAGTCAATGCAAGAGATCGTTAGGAAGCGAAAATGACTTATAGATTTACATTGATTGGGTAATAAAGTACAGGAAGAACTCACAAGGCGGAGATGGGCCAAGCTCAAAGTGATGTATCGGCGGCTGATTCCATTAACGATCAAGCTCGAATGCACTCTCCCTCTTCCATGGATTCTATTCTGGCAGGTTTCTTCGTTTATGCCTTTACGATGATAGTGTTAGTTTCCGTTAATTCATTTGCTAGGGTGTCATCTGTTTGTGAAAATGCCCGAAAGAAGATCTTAGCTTTACTTTGAATTCTGCTTATTTTTCCGTACCGGTTTAGATAATGAAAGATTTTTTTTTCACTTCTTTTTCGCTGGAGCTGTTGGTGATTCCATTATCTTTTGCTTTTTACAGAAGCAGCTGCATATGGCAACGATGAGAATCAGGTTGGTCCACTTTTTAATTCCATTAATTGCTCCCTCTTTGTTCTTGGGTCGTCTAACGAGTTGTAAAATGAATTGGGTTTTCTTTCTTTCTTCTTTTGTGCCAGTCTCTTGAAGCGCAGGCGCAGAAAGCATTAGACTGCCCTTGTGTTGCTGAGCTGCGGGATGGCGCTTGCGGGGCTCAGTTCACCGAGGCTTTCCTTTGTTTTCTCAAAAGCACAGCTGAGGAAAAGGTAATCACTGTTAATCTAGACGCTCCTAGTAGGTGGTTTCGGCTTAGGTTCGAACTGGTTATGTCATTTCAACAGTTACAAAACAAAAGATTTAGCGCCAGTTTTCATCTATATTGTGATTTAAGTTGAAGCTCTAAAGTCTAATTATTGTAAATATCTTGTTTAGAAAGCAAAGATTTAGGTTTTGCTTGGTATGAAGGATGGAAACGAGGAAGCATGGAAAATTTGTTAATCGGATTGTTAGGATTCATAACCACTTTCTTACTTTGGATCTCAATCATTTGATTAATAGATTTTCCATCATTCCTTGTTTTCATCTTTCATGCCAAACAAAGCCTAGCCTTGATTTGTTGTTCCATTTCATTTAATTTTGTGTCAAGTATAGGTACTTAAAGTATATCTTTTTTTTATCCAAGTACTGAAGTATTTTTTTTGTCAAAATAGGTACTTAAAGTATTTTTTGTCAAAGTAGGTACATAAAGTATATCATCTTTTTCATGTAGGTAACATGTGGTATTGATTAAAAAATGCTTTAGTTTCATAGATGAAAAAGGTGAATTCTTTAGTTACCTACTTTGATAAAAAAATACTTTAGGTGGAATACTTTAAATACTTATTTTTGAATTAAATCTTCCATATATTGCAAGGCACATTGGTTATATGATACTCTGAGGTCGGGTGCGAGTGTAGGATATGTGAAAGTGTCCCTAGTGGGGACACTTATTTTTGGATATGTGTCAAATACGGGTATCTGGCATATCTATTGTGAGAACGAAGAATAAGAACAATATAACATTGGTCAATTTTTATGTAGTTTCCTGCTAATCTAAACGGCTTGGTATAGGGCTTCCCTAACTGCTTGACCATTTGAAACATTAATTTCTACACTTTTATTCATGTTGTCATTGATAGCACATATCTCTACTTTTTTCGTACATTTGATCATTGTTTATCTCGACCGGCAACATATAATTCTTAATTTTTCCCCTATCCAGCCTCTTTCATTGTCGAAATTCTATATAAGCACAACCATATTGAAACTTTCCTCTTTAACAGGGTTCGGACTGCGTTCATCCGTTTGTTGCCTTGCAAACCTGTATCAAAGGTAACCCCGAAGCATTTCCTAAAACAGTCATGGAAGATAAAGAAGTCGAGAAAGAAGAGGAACCTGTCCAAGAATATAAAATTTATCCTCCTTTATGGTTCAGGAAATCTCAGAGCCCACAACCAAAACTCTAGGACAACATTTCATTGTTTTTTTTCTTGTTTTGTCATACATTCTCATTGCATATGCTATTTTGATTGAAAAATTTAGTATTTTAGCTCTTTTCCTGTTAAAAGATTGGTGTCATCTGGTAATAGAGAGTTAAAGATGACAAAATCTGGGTGATTCCTTATATCATTTGAACATGGTTTTATTCGAATAAAAAAACAAACTTTTGTTGCACAAATACTATTTTTTGAATCAGAGTACACAAAAATAGCAAAATGATAGATTTGTGTGCTTAAATGGAATGGTTTTTCTGGTTTGGATTGTGAGCTAATATATTGGGGATCGAGCCGGGGATAAGCCAATATTATCTTGTATCAATCACAGGTTAAGTGACCAAAAATAAAAAAAAAGTAACGTTTGTGATCAAATCTGTAGAAAAAATAGTTTGGTGACCAAAGTATAAAATGGTAATAGTTGGGTGGCTAATGGTTTAGTTTACCCTTAACTCTTTTGGAATGGTTAAACTATGAATTTGATCACTTTTCTTTTGCTTCTTGTTCATTATTTGCTTTAATGATTAAAGACTTGTCTACAAGTTGGAATATACGTCCGATCCGACTGTTTCGACTTGTACAGATCGGGTTTTGGAGAAGGAATTTTAAGTTCGAATTGGTTTAGATGAGTTTCAATTCAAATTAATTAATGAAAATATTTTATTTAAAATTAATAACAAAATTATATTGATATTGCTATAAAGATATTTTTAATATTATTATTTCACTCTAGTAGTAAACTTCTTGAAGTTGCTTGCGGGAAAAGAAAACAAATCCTATTCCTTTTGGGATATGGATGATGGTGTTTCTAAGCATAAATCAATCAACTTCTTCATTTCAATTTCCCTCCACCCTCCTTGAATTCTCCAAACCCTTTGAAGCAATCTTAATACTTCCTCGGCTCGTTCGATACCGGAAACAATATCGACTTTTAGACCAATAAAAAGTATGATAACTAGTAATCATTTCGGAGATGAATTCGGGTCACCTTTGTTGCAATGCTCAACGTTGGTGGAAAAAAAAGGCGACAACAACAATAACCCAACTTGAAATTTTTGGTCAATTGGGTCATCCTGAAATTACGGATACAAAACAAATAACTTCAAGAGTATTTTCCTTAACTACATGAAGTTTAAAGGTGGAGAACACCGAGTATTGACATATTGTTTCTCTTTGAAACTTTTGTTATTAGTAATCTGAAGTAGTAAATTTTTGTTGGACAATGCCACTTCTACTAGATGAATAGAAGGTTTTGATGGAACTAAAGAGTATTTTCTTTAGCTGCACGACGTTTAAAGGTGCAAAATTGACATCGACATGGATAAATTTTTTCTTTTACTACTGAGACCACTTAATGCGTTTAATAAAAATAAATAAATATGTGTATAATCATAATATTATTATTATTTATGGATTGATGGTAATGTAAAATTTCAATGAGTGATTTTTTTTAATTTAAATGCGCACACACATGTGTGTGTAAAAGATTTAAAATTTGATACTTGACTTTTTTACCCAATTAGGTGTATGAGTTTGGTTTTAAGGTTTAATTTAATATCTATTTTTTTAATCTAATTAGGCATCTTTTTGTTTGTTTAAAATAGTACTTAGAATTGATTTTTTTTAGTCCAGATTGATACTTACTATAAATGACTTGAACCATGAAACTGAGTTCAAGTACCAAGTTGAATGAAAAAAATATAGTTCAAGTATCTAACTGGAACTGGACAAAAAACTTAGGTATCAAATTGAACTTTAAGGCCAAGTTCACGCACCTAAATGAACAAAAAACAAACTTAACGGCAGAATTGAATCTTGAGCTACGTGTACGTACCAAAATGTAGATTTACCCTAAATGAAAATGAAGTACTATATTTTTTGAAGGCGAAAATGCAAAATAGTAAAGTTAAATTAACTAACCAACTGCCACGAGCGGAAGGGATAGTGAAGATGCTCTGAAAAAGAAGAGCGAAATTTCTTCTTCATCTATCAATGTTTTGAATTTCATTGTTTTTTTTTAAAGAAAATCCGTTAAAATCACTTGAAATACCCACTTTGAGTTTCCAAATTGACGTCGAAATCAAAGAGGAAACGGAAAAATGGAGGGAGTTTGGGAAAATTTCATGCGGAACAATCAAGATACCTTCAAATCCCTTTTTCTGCGCAAGAAATTATCATCCATTGACGAAGATTCCCCAGCAGGCACCCCTACGCCCATCCCTCCCTCTCTTCTCTCGCAAATTCCGTTGATTTTTCGCTGTTGCAAGTACTCTCCCTATACACATATATGCATGTACATGTCACTGCACATTGTTCGTTTCTGTTGAAATCCTATCTTGGAATCGGTACTCGGATCAAAATATCAATTTGGGTTTCTTAGTCGATTAAATACTGATTAAAATGTTATAGCTGCAAATGTAAAATCTATGCATTTTGTTCTTCAATGATAATTACTACATTTCTGTTCTTTTAATTATCTGAATATACTTTTTGTTTGCTCGCTGTTGTAGGATTCTTAAAATTCCCAGTGAAGAATTGCAACACCGTTTCGACATAGAGCTTCCAGAAAGTGTTAAACAGCTCTTCACATATGCTAGGAACTTTTTAGAGTTTTGCTCATACCAAGCATTGCATAAAGTGAGTAGGAATCCGGATTATTTGAGTGACGCGGATTTCCGTCGGTTAACCTATGATATGATGCTTGCATGGGAGGCACCCTGTGCTGAGTGTGAACGTGGAACCAAAGTAAGAGATGCATTGGAGTTGTTTGCTACACATGTTCTTCATATGTTGATTAAAAACTGTGTAAGAGGTTTTTTTTGGGGATCGAGGGCTGGGATTGACAATGTTCTCTGAAATTCTTTTGTCATGTAGGAAACTTTACCCAACAACGACGAAGTTGAGGATGACGAAGATGGGTCACTGTTTTATTCAAGTCCCATGAGTATGGCAGTTCAGGTTTGTTCTTCTATTTTTTTTTTCTATTTTCATAAATTTCATTTGCATAAGGAGGTTTTACTATTGTAGGCCTCTACTGGCTGCTCTATGATATTGACATTCTTCCTTGGCTTGATAATTCTTGAGCCTTTAGTTACCTGCGACTTTCTTTAAGTGACCATCTATACTTAGTGAGCCAGAGTTTGAAAGTAAAGGGCCAAATAATGCTACTTCATAAATTGCATTTGAAGCCATAGTTTTATTTTTGTATTGTCCATTTTTTCTCTTTTTTCTGTTTTATGTACTTATTATATTAAATGTTACTATGATTCCTTTGATATGCTAAAGAATTGAAGGGAAAAAAAGTAAAAAGAAGATAAGTTAAAAGTAAGAATTTATAAAGAAACCGAAAAGCAGGAGATCAAAACTGAAGGCAAGCATTTAAGCATAAGAGGAGGGACAAAATACCTATAAAAGATGAAGGTAATTAAGAGGAAGAACACACTAATTAAATTCAGTAGAAATTTCAAAACGAATAGGACATAGAATTTGGGATATTTAAAAGGTACAGATTTCATAAGATTAAAGGAAGGCTTATTAAATTTGTTGGCTTATGTAATGAGTTTGGTGGGAGCCTAGGCCATGGGAGAGGGAGATTGTATTCGAAGTTCATTCTTTACTTTTTTATCAAGTTGATGACAAAAAAAATGTTGGACGAGAGGCTTTTGAACGAATAGCTCCTGCCTGTTCTGTTGTTGCAGATATAATAACGGTTCACAATCTTTTTTATGCATTGACAAGCTCTGCAGGCCCCCGACTTCACTTTATTATATACGACAAATACCTCCGAAGCCTAGACAAGTATGGATTCATTATTGTTTTCTATCATTTTTATGAACTCTAATGGCTTATGTGGTTTAACAGATGTGCTAAGTCACTTGAATTAAACAAAAGGGGGGATTTTTGGGTTAAGACTTGCAGATACTTGTCTTTTAATACTTTTCTTACCTTTACATCTTTCACTATTTGTTTTAAATATTTTAAACTTCTAAGTAAATGGATCATGAAAGCTAAGGTGATCAGTAGTGCAAACTTTCATGAATCGAGGTGTAAAAAACATTTAATTAATTAATCTCAGTTGTTATCAATTCTAACTAAGAATTTTTGGGTTTAACTTCTTGACATCTGTGATCAGATTGGATAAAATAGTGAACATATCTATATGTATTTTCTTAATGTTTTGATTTTTTGGGCTACTTTGATATCTGAGTTTAAACTGTTGAAATAGTTATTTATCATGGATCTTTACCCATCCTTAGGGTTATCAAGACCGCGAAAAACACATTGGGACCCTCACTTACCAATCTTCCACTCTCTGATGTGGAGATAATTATAGATATTGAAGGTGGTGTTCCAACTCAACCCGTTCTGCAACATATTGGAATCTCGGTATGGCCAGGTATGTCAATGTTCTGAAAATTGTTAAGACTTCACTAATTTCCCTTTACAAGGTTGTGCTTGTATGAGATCAAAGTAGGCAATATTATATATGTATTCATAGAAAAAAATTATCTTCATATGAATGGATCAAATGGTACTGATTTTTATCAATTGATGTCTTTCATGTCTAATATATGTAGTACTGATATTTGTGTCGATGAAAAATTGTTAATGTTAAACTTTTAAACTTTTACATGTCTCCTTTAGATGAAATCCATGTGTGGTAAAGAACTTATCCATTGAAATTGTTCAATCAAAAGAAATAATTTTTAGACCAAGAAATCTTGCCAGGTTCACTGATGCCATTGGTTCACACTTCAATAGAGAGGCTCTAAGATATTTTAACTGCATTATCTTTTGGTTGTTTATGTGTTGAGTTTCTACTAATGCAGGACGGCTCACTCTAACCAGCTTTTCTCTGTACTTCGAGGCTTTGGGTGTTGGTGTATACGAAAAAGCCGTGAGATATGATCTGGCAACGGACCTGGAGCAGGTCATAAAACCTGAATTAACGGGGCCACTAGGTGCTCGTATCTTTGATAAAGCTGTTATGTACAAATCAACAACCGTGTAAGTTTTCTGTCAGCATAATAACATGGAATTATATAGTTTAATGTCTTCTTTAAATTAAAGTATATTTTCTGATATTTCTTTGGACCATGTAAATCTATTTGCAGAACAGAGCCCGTTCATTTTGAGTTTCCTGAATTTAAAGGCAATTTTCGTCGGAACTTTTGGTTGGATATATCTCTGGAGATCCTGCATGCACACAGGTTTGCTAGAAAACACAACTTGAAAGAGACTCAGAAGTCAGAAGTAGTAGCAAGGGCTATATTAGGTATATTTCGCTATCATGCACTGAGAGAAGCTTTTCAGTTCTTCTCATCTCGGTATAAAAACTTGCTTAGTTTTAATCTAGCTGAGAGCCTTCCTGGAGGTGATACGATTTTGGAAACCCTTGCTAGTCGTTTGGCACTTTTAAATGTTGATAATTCTCCACGCACTGTGAAACACCCACCAATTTCATCTCCTTTTTCACATCTGGCGCTTAGTCAACTTGGATTCATCCCACAGAAGAATGCAATTTTGGAAGGAGAAGCATTAATGGTTGGAGATTTCTGTATTGGAGAAACACATCCCTTAGAGTTAGCAGTGAAGAAATCAATATCTGACACAGGTAGGGCTGAAGCTGCACAGGCAACTGTGAACCAAGTGAAGGTAGAAGGAATTGAAACAAATTTATCTGTAATGAAGGTTGGTTATTGCACAATCTTCCATCTATTAGATTTGGTTTCAGGCCATAAAAACTGTCATAAGATTGGAAATTTTGATCAAGTTATTAATTCATTTGTCAGGTAGAAGTTGTCATCAGAAATATTTAATTCATTTTGATGTCTATGTCAATTTAGGGGAAGTTTCATTTTGTCATGCTCCTAGAAAACAGCTCGAGTGCTCATTTGAATACTAGACATTTGCTGTACTACGGCAACTGATCCTCAGAATCATTTTGAACATTTGAGTAGGTTGCTGAAAGTTCTCTCTTTATTTATTTATTTCTAATTTGTAGGAACTGCTGTTTCCTTTTATTCAATTAGCTACTTGTCTTGTGCTTCTCTCTTCATGGAAAGAACCTTTTAAGTCGACTGTCTTTCTGATGTTGATCAGTTTGACAATTATACGGTAAAAGTTGTCTTTGACTGGTCTTTTATATACTTTTCTTCAAAATCTCCTTCAGTGTGTCCTGAAAGTTGAAACATGTAAAGTGAAATCATATATGATATATGTATTGTGAACTGATCTTGGTAATATTTATATCAGTGGATCTCTTAGCTGATCATTTCCTGAATTTTCTGCATGCAACAACATTTAATGTTCTTGCCATGCATGTTGTAAAAATGCACCATAAAGGTTCATTTGTGTATATTCAGTTTGGTATTGGTGTTTTTATTCTATATTCCACTTTTTATTATTGCATAGAGCAAACCAAATGATAATAATGAATCCATTAATTCTGATGTGCAGGGGGTGGATTGCATATATATTGGGATTTGTTTTTGTATGATTTGCAGTTGTCATGCTATGGAACCGGTGTCTTAACAGAGGGAATGCCTTAGGAGCCTTCACAATAATAGCTCCATCAAATCAAAATGCAGTCGAGCAGCTGTTGACATTACAAGAAGTTATCTCCCAAAATGAAGCACTAATCCAAACCGCGAACGTTTTTCTCCTCAAAATTAGAGCTATTTTCTTTGCTGTCTTACCACAGGTGCATATCTCAGCTATACTTGAATCGGATAAAAGAAAAATGAAATATGCTAAATATAAAGCGTCAAACATGATGCTCCCCACCCCATTGAACTGGAAAAGAGTGAACAGAAAGCAAGTTTCTTGTTTTACTAGCATCATCTGCTGCTGGTAATTGATTCATTCATTGGCTTTGTTTTTTACTATGGGGTGAATGTTAATACCTTTGTGTGTATGAACCGAGCATATACTTATATTGAAGTCAAGTTAAATCATCCAGGTCTTCTTTCTTGAGTTGCATTCTGCATGGAAATTGTGGAATGCCACTATGTAGTTTACGTACCAGAAACAAACTGAATGAAGTTTCTTTTAGTTAAGTTTTAATTGTGGAATTTGGCTAGCTTCTAACTATACTTTCTCTGCATTATCAGTCTGCCAGGCCACTGACAGGGTTGCTATCTCATTGGTTTTCTTAGCTGCAGTGTTAGCTTTTGTGCCTTCCAGATTCTTGATATTGTTTGTATTCCTAGAAGCTTTTACAAGGGAACTACCGTATAGGAGAGAGAGCACTAACCGATGGCTATGGAGGCTTAGAGAATGGTGGTTTAGGATACCGGCGGCACCGGTTCAGCTCATTCGAGCCGATGATAAGAAAAAGAAACTGTAAAATTGCTGTGAAACAACACTCAGGTTGCAATATTTTTCAGGGGTCTCTCCCTATATGTGTCTCATTTCTGTTTAATGGTTCTCCATCAATAGCCCACATAATGCATAAAGCATCGCGCAGTGGATCTCAGCCGCAAATTGACCCCTACCCTATTACCCCCTCTTTACTTGTCTAACATTGAACCTATGACAAAACAGGCATATGGTAGAAATCTGGCTCAAGCATGGTTTTGGCAAATCTTCAATGGAGTTGCAAGTGTTAACATCCATATACATATACATATACATATTAAAAAAGAAAGTTCCCTAACTTGAAAAGAACATGCTTTTAGTTTTGTTATAAGCAAGGCCCTTTGAATCTTTGATGAAGGTCTAATATGAGAAGTGAGTAATGAGTTTTCTTTAAATACAATTTACGTACAATATTTATATAATTTATATCTTATTTCATTCCTAGATCGAACGGTAATTGAATTATTAAATATATTCGTTTTTACGCCCTTTTATATAACATATCAACAATAATGTCAACCTAACTAAACTCAATTTGTGAACAATGAGATCTTTTCACCCTTGAACAAACTAAAGAAATATCAGTGTCGGAACGATCCTCGAGCTTTTTGGGCTATGACGGGGAGAGATTCAACTTAATTTTGGGTAAGGGTTGCAGTTTCTAGGACTCAAAACTCCATATCTGCTAGATGTCGCTCAAGGATAATTACTTGAATCAACCGAGTTAAGCTCCAAGTTATGTCTTCTCTTTGCTTTATTCTATGGTGATTGATGCATTTTTCGTTTCTTTGCTCTTCTTATAGATGAGGTTAATTGAACGGAACTCTGAAATTCCTCATGAAGGCCCGTTCTGTGATCTCATGTGGAGTGATCCTGAAGATATTGAAACATGGGCAGTCAGTCCACGCGGTGCAGGATGGTTATTCGGGGCCAGGGTCACATCGGAGGTAACCGGTCTCATCTCGGTCTATACTCATGCTGAAATAATAATTTTAACCCTTTTAATCTGTTGCAGTTCAACCACATAAACAATCTCGATCTTGTTTGTCGAGCTCACCAACTCGTGCAAGAAGGTCTTAAGTACATGTTTGAAGATAAAGGCCTAGTAACCGTGAGACACTTAACTTTCCGCTTACATCTTTTTATATTAATGTTATTAAGAAGATAATGGAATTTCTTGATTATTGAAATTTGCAGGTGTGGTCTGCACCAAATTATTGTTACCGTTGTGGGAACGTCGCTTCTATATTGAGTTTCAACGAGAATATGGTGAGAATCTATCTCTCTTTCTAGTTTTTTTCTTTTCGCCTTACTTCTATATATTGGATTAGTTTAACCGGAAACTGGAGGGCTGTTTGGTCCATCATACTAACCAATCGAGACGTTGAACCAGCATAGAACAGGTTTGACTGGTATAAGTACATGGGTTTCATGATGCTTACCATTTTTCGCGTCTATTCCAGGAGAGAAAAGTAGAGTTCTTCACTGAAACAGAAGAGAATAATCAGATGAGAGGGCCAAGGACAGGAGTCCCGTATTTCTTGTAATGAAAGGGAGATACATACTGCAGTAGTGGTAATATTATTCAAGAATTTGATTTCTAAAAGAAAGTATCAGAGGAGGAAAGCGTCGAATACATGAAACAATATGCAGATGCGGACCTGCCCCGGAAATTGTCCGGAACCCCCGAGTCCTGTATGTTGCATCATGGCTGATTTAACCTTGAAATGCCGGTCTCCTTTTGGTTTCTGTTAATAGCTGCTGCTGCTGCAACTTGGTGTTTTGTCATGTGGGTGTTTCATTTTCTGCATATTGCTTCATCTGATCTCTAGTTCTGAAAATTGGTCTTTGCTTCCTTTTTATGTTTTTCTTTTCGTTTATTTACTTTAAATGAGATATTCGAGGTTTAGTTCACATTTTCCGATTTAACTATTTTAAGTTATTTAATCATATTTTTTTAGATTTTAGATTTTAAATTTTAAAATTAAAATATATTTATACTCAAACTGTATTATTAAAATTAAGAGTGTTCGGTCAGTTAATTCGATCGGTGGTTGAATTGAATTAATCAATTTTTTCTTTAATTGTTAAATGAATTGATTTTTCCTTTTAGATTATTAATTGAATTTAACAAAGTTTGGTAAATTAGCTTTTAAATTAATCAAATTTTGTTATAAATTTTTTTAGTTAGATTAATTTGAGTTTAATATGGATATTTTTATTTGGGTTGAAGTTAAATTAGTTTTTGAAAGTTTTTGGATCTTGATTTTTAATGGAGTTGAACTTAATATATATATATATATATATATATATATATATATATATATATATATAATGTATTTAATATTTGATATTTTTTTTGTTATTTCAATTAACTGATTGATTTTTGAATTAAATAAATTAATAATTAAATTTTAAAAGAAATTTTAATTATTAATTAATTTAGTTTCTAGTTATTCGATTAATTAATTTAGTTTATAGTTATTTAATCAACGATGAACATTCCTAATTGAAATATTTGTGTTAAATTTATAATTTATATATAATAGTGATGTTAATGATAAAGTTTAACATAAAATAAATGTATTATCTAAATTATTTTTATTTTACCTTAACATATTGTTTGGGAAAAATAATAATTTTCTGGAGGAAAAAAATGCGTTAAGTGGAAATAAAATATTATTCAGTAAAATAATCTGACAAATATTATTTGTCTTGATTAATATTTTTTTAAAAATAAAAATAGAACATATTGCAAAATTTAAGGAATTAGAAAATTCCAAATGCGAAATTCGCGACACCATATATGAATTCCATTTTCATAGGGGGAGCTCTGCATCTCCGACTGCTGCTATTTTTATTCTCATCACATCCTCGCCTCCCATCCAAAAAGCTAGCTGTCGTGTTGCTTCCTGTCAACAGCCATCATGAGCTCTCTGCCTCAGCCTCCATTTCCGCCATTGGCCGAGAAAATCAAGCACGAGATGGAGTTGGTGGGGGACGTTAGAGTCGACAATTACTACTGGCTTCGCGATGACTCCCGCAAGGACCCTGGAGTTCTCTCTTATCTTCAAAAAGAAAACGCATATTGCGAGGCCATGATGTCCGGTATGTTTTCTATATATTGATTTACTCAAATTTCTATTGGTTTCTCGGAATTTTTTAAAGAGAAAATCGCCTCAGTGACCAAAATTCTCATATAATATACGATTTTAATCAACTTTTTTCGGATTTGTCAAAATGACCAACAAAATCGCAATGCGATCGCTAATTCGCAACGCGATCTCCATTATCGCAAATTCGCGTTGCATTTCGCGTTGCGATAGTTGAAAATCGCGTTGCGATGGTCTACAGTGTCGTTGCGATTTTCCCAATTCGCAATGCGAATAAGTAAATCGCAACGCGAATTGAGAAAATCGCAATGTGATACTGACTATCGCAATGCGATACTTACTATCGCAATGCGATAATACAAAATCGCAACGAGATACTGACTTTCGCAACGCGATTCTGACTTTCGCAACGCGATAATATATAATCGCAATGCGATTTTCAAAGCGCCATTAGTATCCTGGCCAAGTATTTTATTTTTAAATTCCAAACACGAATATTAATATATTGGAACACTGAACCGTCCACAGTATATCCCGTAATCGCAACTCATAACCTAAAACATAAAATCACAACTCAGTCCCATCTCCATCTCTCACTCTCTCACCCATCTCCGACGAAATCCGTCCCCATCTCCGGCGAAATCCGTCTATCTCCATCTCTCAGAGCCACCCTCACAATCAAAAATGGAAAATCAACCAAATCAACCAACGAGGGTTAGTTTTTTTAATTATTTTCTTTTTGAAATTTTTGCATTATTATTAGGTTTTTCATATTGAAATTGATTATAAGTTTACTGGTAATTTCAATAATAGATTAACCATTTCACTTAGATTGCTTATTAAATAAACCGAGAATCGCAACGCGAAATGCAAATCGCAACGCGATTTTAGTTTCGCGTTGCGATTCTCTCGTTGCGATAGTCAAATTCGCGTTGCGATAGTCATTTTCGTGTTGCGATTTTCATTTTCAGAAACTATTCTTCTTCTGCAAATTGAAACTTGAATGAATTGCATTACTTCAACCAAAATACAAAGACAAATACGAAATTCACAGTGTTGCAAATTTAAGTTTGAAGAATAAACTACTACTCTTTATGTTTATTATTGTTTTTGGTATATCTTCACAGTGTAGTTTTTGGTATATCTAACTTAGTATGTTTATTGTTTTTGTAGAACTTTTATTCGACTCAATTGACCTTAAGAAATAAAGTCAGCCTGGCCAAAACAATTGCGTCGAAGCTTTCACCTGCACAAAGAAAAATGTTTGAGGATACATGCTTCGGGCCATGGCTGAAAGTACAACATCCCGGTGGAGATGCGATGTTGACACACCTGTTTCTTCAAACCATGACTAGTGATCTACCAGAGACTATACAACGTCGTGATGAAGAGATATGGTTTGATTTTCCACCGGCGTATACGTGTTTTGGGCGGGAGGAGTTTTGCTTAATCACCGGTCTACGCTTCGGACACGATGATGTAGGTTGGTACACTAGACACATTACCCGCCCATCATGGCTATCCCGGGTTTTTCTTGAGCTGGAGAGGCCGAATCTACACGTAGAAGACCTGACAAGATTGTTGAATAAGAAAGATGGTTTTACTCGGATGGATGACGTCGACGTTGTCCGAGTATGCCTTCTAATTCTTTTGCATGCCGGCTTTTTAGGCAGAGAGGCCAGACAACCTATTCCAAATGATCTAATCAAATTGGTAGAAGACCTAAATACGTGGAACCTGTTTTCGTGGGGCTCGTATTTATGGAAAGCTACATGGAATAAGTTATCGTCTGCCTTGGATGATCGAAAAAGTTTGCATGGCGATGGTTCCAAATACACTTTGACAGGATTTATTTGGGCCTTTAAGGTAAGAATTTTTATATAATGTTTCCAAAATTATAAGTAATTATTTAACAATTACTAATGTTTGTTATTATATTGTTTGTAGATTTGGATATTTGAGGCCTTTCCCGCCATGAAGACATATGCAATAAAAACTTCAAATGATATTCCCAGGGCTATTTCCTGGAAGAGGAAACGGACCTTGCAATGAGAAGATTTACTACGGTATACGACAATAAATAATGTAAGTTAACATAAATACTACCATATGTTTATAAACAAGTTATTACTAGTACACGTTTAACTTTGTTTGAGCTTTTATATTGTTAGGAGGCCAACACTCCTCTACAGAGGCTGACACCCACGGAAGCTGAGCTTGCCACTGATTGGTGGCAAGCTAGTAAGCATTTTTTTGATGGAACGGTTGATGAGCAGCCTCCACTTCGGGAGCCATCACCTCGCCCAGAGCTATCACCTCACCCAGAGCCATCATCTGATCGACCCGACTATACACCTCCACAACGACAGCCATCACCTATTCTGTCACATCATCGAGCCTCTTCTCCACCATCACTGCAAGATAGGCGACCGGCAAAGATGCCACGACGTTTATCTCCCTGTTCTCCACCTCCACCTCAACGGGATGAGTTAGGGGAGTTACGTGATGAGGTCAATGCCTTACGTGAGGAGGTCGATACTTTACGCAAAGACGATGGTGCATGGCGTGTTGAGGTGTCTACATTACGCGGTGAGGTAGCCGCTCTACGTGATATGGTAGCATCGTTGTATAATGAGGTTCATACTCTACGCAACGAGGTAAGTTTAAGATTTTTCATACTCGTAATTCATTCGGTTGCTGCCAATACTGCTAAACTGTTTTTGTTAGTATTTGTTTTTGGTTTTGTTTTTGTCTTTTGGTTGAAGTAATGCAATCCATTCAAGTTTCAATTTGCAGAAGAAGAATAGTTTACTTTCGCAACACGAAAATGACTATCGCAACGCGGAAATGGCTATCGCAATGCGAAATGAAAATCGTAACGACAAAATCGCAATGCGAAATGAAATCGCAACGATAAAATCGCAACGCGAAATGAAAATCACAATGCGATTTGTGTTTCGCGTTGCGATTTTGTCGTTGCGATTTCATTTCGTATTGCGATTTTGTCGTTGCGATTTTCATTTCACATTGCGATTTTGTCGTTGCGATTTTCATTTCGCATTGCGATAGCCATTTCCGCGTTGCGATAGTCATTTTCGCGTTGCGATTTTAAGTTTCGTGTTGCGAAAGTAAACTATTCTTCTTCTGGAATGTTTATATATGTTGTCCTTTTAAATGTTTATATAAGTGCTTACTTCTGGAATGTTATCTGAGCATTTTATGAACTATGATAGAATAATGACTTGGGTGAATACAATGCTAGTTTGAAACATATTTGTCTTTGTTTAATATCATGTCTGTTTATTTACTGATTTATGTATTAATTTTTTTTAGCGGCCCGATAAGGTGGATGATTTACGTCGGGTTTTCCTTGCACGACGGAGTTCACACATCAGACGGCGTGGACGTGCTATTACATCTCCGTTCACCCCAATGGTGCGAAGACTCCGCAAGAAGAAGCCCGACTCACCTGTCATCCCTCAAGAGTCCCCTCCAATCGTTCAAGAGGCCCCTAT